ACAAAACCCAGCGCGCGAAGGCTCAAAAGCTTCAAACCTTCCGATATTTCACCTGCTACCCTCCCCTGCTCTGCTGACCTCCCGTCTCTCTAGCTCGCCCTCTCTGCTGCTCTGTGAAGGTCCCTTCTCTCCCGTTGCCCTCTCTACTGCGCTGCGAAGGTCCCCTCACTTTCTTGCTGCTGCCCACATTATCTCTGCGAACTTCCCAGACGCTTTAGAGAGAAGAAAGCTTCTTCATGGAGGTTAGCTTCTTCATGGAGGTTTTAGTGAAGAGAGGGAAAGCCAAATCACAAGAAGGAGGATGTACCAAAATGCGTGCTACCTCTTGGCTACTGAAGAATTCCCAGTCAATCATGTCTTTCTTGTGGTAAATTAGAATTTTTTTCTTTTTTTTCTTTTTCATTAGATTTATTCATGCAAGAAAATTTCAGGGGAATATCGGTTTTTGTTCAGTTGATTTTTTTGGGTATGTGATGAATATTCAGATAATTATGATTTGGGTTTGGTTTTTTGCTCTGAATACGTATGCGTCATGAACTTGCCGGAGATTGGAAAATTTAATAATTGAGTTTCTTTTAGCATTTCTTCTTTTGTTTTTCAAACTAGGTTTTCTTTCTCATTTTTTTATGGCCTCATAGCATGTTCTAGATGTTACCAAATAATATTTCGTGGGTTTGATTTAGAAACATTTAATTTGGAATCTCATGATTTAAATAACCATTTTTTATATGAAAATGGAGGGCAGTTACATTTTTGCAGTTGTATTTGGAAGGATTAATGGATAACATGATTTATTTTGGGTGAATCTGTTTTTGCATTGCTCTCATCTTTTGCAGGTCTTTTGATTGGTAATGCTGTTGTAAGCAAAATAGAGAAATTGAACCTGAATTATCATATAACTGCAGCTAACTCTAATTTTTGGTGGACTTCTCTTTAATTGTAACATCTTTTAATATTTTTGGGAGTGTATTATTTGATTCTTCGGACATAGTGACATGAGAAGCAAGATAAAATCTGAATGTGACATGTATTTGTAATTTTTTTGGTAAGTGCTAAGATTTGAGTATGAGTTTGATGCATTATGGCTTTTCTTTATAGTATGAACACAGATTGTTTCTTAATAGATTGTGGTTTGATAGAATATATATGTTAGAATTTGTGGGCTTCTATTTGCACAAATCATTGATCGCTCTGTAATATTTCTTTCCTAGCATTTAATAGTCCTGTGAAATCTATATTGCATCATGGTGTGTGCAAGTTGGTCCCTCTGAAGTAGTTGGTGTGCATTTGACAATCAAAAAGGCATCAAACTACACATACTCATATTTTTGGGTACGTAGATAACACATGCACGTTCCTGTGTTTACAAATTCTCTTATATACTCAAATTTAGATACTATTTCCACTACTTCTGGTTAAATGATTTCATGTACAAACATGCAGATGTATATTATCATTTTCCTACATATCACATGCATCTTATTTAATTACATCATCATGTGGTACTGCTACCACCCTACTGATTTTTTTTCCTTTTTGGGTAGTTACTACCCTACTACTTCTAGTTCATTTTTTTCTTCTTCTTCTTAGTTCCTTTTTTTCTTCTTTTTCTTCTTTTTGGTGAACACTGATAACGGTTAGCACCAATTTTTTGAGTGGAGTGTTTTCCTGGCTGGAAATGAGAACCATCTGGCCAATTTCCAATAGTCTCTTGCTGAAAAAGTGATACATATGTATACAAATGCAAACACATGCTGACAAAACATATACCGGTACATGCAGGTCATTTGTGAATGTGTGTAAGCATATGTGCGTGCATGCGTGTGTGCGTGGCATGTGTGTGAAGGGATTATATGGAAAACACCTTCAAGTTCTATCATCAGGCAATTAAATAAGCTATTGATTTAGGACTATGAAGATCTCATTTTTTTGGACTTTTTCTTTTTTTACTTTGGTTCACCAAGTGAGTTTATTGGATTTTTCATTTAACCTGCCCTTTGGTATACTCCGTACCATCTAATGAGTAGGTTTTATGCTTGGTTAATCTGGATATTGCTTCTCATACCAATCTCTATCATTGGTTATTTCTTTGCCTGTCATCAACTGACCTGTTGAACTAATGGCTTTCACCAGAAATTCATTGAGGTTCATTGGACTAGTCCAATTTCTCTACACAAAGTTGTCAACTGTTTTGTACAAAGAGGCCCTGTTTTACTCTTGCATATTACCTTTTATTGCATTCTTTGGAGCTTTTGCCTTTGTGCTTTATCTATAAGTTCAGTCTTTGAGAGGTGATTATTGTTGTGGTAAAATGGATTTAGGACCACAGCATAGTAATAAAAAGACTCAAGACAATTAGGAGACCAGGAGTTCTTTGAGGTCTGCATGGTCTATATGCACAACTGAGCATTGAGGAGTGGTCTAGGCAGGTGCCTAGAGTTGCTGCCTGCACCAACGCCGTATTCTCCTGGAATGCCTCCATGCTTAAGCTCATGTGTATATTTGAGAAAATGCTGGACTTCATGTGGCAGCTGGCTTTTGCTTTGGGCATGGATGTGGCTGCTTGGTTGTACTTGTTCTCTATCATCATAAATAATGTTTTTTCACCATATAACTGTTGTTATACATCAG